CCTGCCAGCCTGGTCACTCCTAACTGCCCCCCCTGCCAGCCTGGTCACCTCTCATGGCCCTCCCACTGGCCTGGTCACCCCACGCAGCCTGCTTGTTCAGTTGTTTGGTCATCCCTCACTAATCCCCCCACTGGCCTAGTCTTTGGCAGCCATCTTATGAGGGTGTGAGGGTTATTTTGCATATTACCTCTTTATTATATAGGACAGTGATGGCGAACCTTTTGAGCTCGGCATGTCAGCATTTTGAAAAACCCTAACTTAACTCTGGTGCCGTGTCACATATAGAAATTTTTTGATATTTGCAACCATAGTAAAACAAAGACTTATATTTTTGATATTTATTTTACATATTTAAATGCCATTTAACAAAGAAAAATCAACCAAAAAATGAGTTCGTGTGTCACCTCTGACACGCGTGTCATAGGTTCGCCATCACTGATATAGGATTACTAATTGACATAAGACCTTATCAATTATAGGGATCTATAAAAAGTCATGGTTTTTAATCATAATGTTTACATTCTGTAAAGGTCTTTCCCCTACCTCAACTGTCTTTCTGTGTAAAATATTTAAGTGTGGCATCTTTTCTTCTTTTGTACATAAACCAGTCTACACATGCACTTTCATTTTTTAACAAAGTATAAAAGTTGTTCCTAGAACTACCATTTTCCCCTCTTATTAGTACTCACTTTTAATCTAGCCAAGTATCTGTTATTTCCCTCCTAATGCCTAAAACTCAGATTATTAAAATTTTGGAGCACCCACTTAATACTTGACATCAATACTTTATTAGAATAGGTAATTATTTTTTCCCACCACCAGTCCACAAATTATAGGTAATGTCTGGGATCTCTGGGATTTCTAGTTATAAGGTAGGAAGCATGGGAAATCTTGGACAGACACAGTTTCTGAGGATCAGGAAGGCCAATAGGGGGTAGACCAAGTAGCAAAATTAAGAAAGGAATTTAAATTTAACCTTGAAAGGTATTTAGATCATCAAATCTCCAAGTTCTATGGAGATTTCAACTTTAACAAATGATGAAAACTCATAACTTACTCTGTGAGGCTAGCCAGGCAGTGTGCTGCTGCAACCACCAGATCATCTTGAATCAAGCTTCCTCCACAGAAATGGTGCTCATCTAATTTCAGGGAGACCTGCCCAAGACAAAAGTTATGGATACAACTAACATACATCTCCCCATGGGTGTCGACTCCAGAAATATTTGAAATCAACTCATCTAATATAACATCCTTAGATACTGAAATAAGTGGATCAGTAAGCTATTACCTATGAAGTAAAATTTTTGGCATAGAGGTCGAGTGGGATCAAGACAGAAATTACTTGTTAACCTGGAGTTGTGATATTTGAAACAAAAGAAATAAGTTACCATTTTCTCATTAAGAAATCAGTGCCTTTGTTATACTGACCTGGCATGGATGTCTACCAGCTGTTGAATTTCTCTAACTAGTAACTTCAGAGAAAAACTCAGATTCCAAGGCAGTTTCTGTACTTTTCAGATCAGCTGCTTGAATCCCACACTTCAGTCCTGTGAGGGAGAGCATATGTGTGCACACACGCACACAGAACACCATATGTAAGGGCTCACTCTATCAAGATTTTATGTTCAGATTTTCCTGGCTTGGCACAGGTGTTCTGACATCACTCAGCTGCATGCTGTCCCTGTTCTTTTCTCAAAATATTCTCGAGACCACCCCCCACTCAGGTTGTGTTGACAAGAACTTGCCTCAGGCTTCCCCTGCCCCTTTGCAGCCTGAACTGCCTTAACAAGAAAACACCTGGGGCAGGATGCACCAGCTCTTCCTGTGGTGACTGATTCTGGGGGAGGGTGAGCACTACATAATTTAGGTTCTACAATGATCCTGGAGAATAACATATGCCTCCCCGGAAGACAGATATTTGGCTACTAGAGGCCCAGTGTCCGAAATTCATGCACAGGTAGGGTCCCTAGGCCTGGCCGGTGATCAGGGCTGATTAGGGCCTTCTGGCTGCTGGCCGGTGCCTTTCTTCGTTCCGCGTCACCCCCTGGTGGTCAGCGCACATCATAGTAAGTGGTGGAATTCCCAGTCAGTTGAAATCCCGGTGGAACTCCCGAAGGGACAATTTGCATGTTAGCCTTTTATTATATGGGATAAGTTACTTCCACTTGGCTCTTTTTCTTTGGAGGAGGCTGCTTAGCACGAGCAGGGTTAGCAGATGTGCCTACAAACTTGAACTGCAGAATCCAGTGATTTCAAGAGGAAACTGGGCCCAGGCGCTTCTTTGGGAACATCTGGGCCTGGACTGTCCCCCTCCCCTTCGCCTCTTCCAGCCTGAGGATTATTCAGACTCGTGCCCCAGCATCTGCACCCTGGGCGCCCAGGGCCCACTCACCTGGATTTGAGGGGAGGCCCACAGCAAGAAACGGCAGCACCTCAAGCTCAGCCAATGCCGGCATGGTGCCCATGCGGTGACTTCGTCTGTCTTCCTCTGTTCGTGTGTCTTAGGCTGAGAAAACCAAGGGAGGAAGTTGGTCTGCGCCCCCGCAGGTCCTTGCACTCCTGGAGGCGCCTGCCCGCCTACAGAGCTCTTCACTCCCGCCTACGGGATGATGGGCGGCACCTGCCAGGCTGCCAGACCTCCCAGCATGACCTCCTCTGGTTATCCCGATGCTGCAGCCCTCTGGCAGTCTCGGGTTTCATAGGCCCAGCCATTGGCCCCTGGAGACAGGCGCTAAGTGTCCACAAGGCTGGTGGGATGCTCAAATGTGTGCACAAGCCCCTAAGGGACAGGTGTGTGATCAAGGTGAATTCACGCAGGTGAATTCTGTCCCACGCTGGGCAAGGAAGTTGGTCACCCATACAAGACACAGGATAGCCAACTTCTGAGAGAAGGAAGACCCAGGAAGGCCCAATGAGTACTTTATGGTACTGCTCCTGCTTCTAAGTAGCTTGTTAAAGGCGTTGACACTCAAGTTTTCAAATAGAGTAGATATAAAAGATCAGATTTATGTCATTACGTTTCTGGATGGCAATCAACTTCAGTGGAATGGACCAGAACTATATGACCCATCATTTAAGATTGTTAAAATAAATTTATTGCTAAGACTATCATGTCAGCACTTTTCCCATAAATATTATTTTGTAACAATTTAGCTTGAGATTGGGAGAGGAATAGAGCCAGAATTTGTAATGGACTTATATCTTATCAAAAAATTAGGGCAAGGCTAAGTGGACATTCTATATAAATCAACTAACTTGGCTCAGTTGTCTCAATTCTGTGTAAAAGATAGATAAAAGCTCCTTGAGGTGGGATGGTAAACAAATCCAGGGTGGTAAGCAGGCTGTAGACAGATGAACAGAAAAACAGAATATAGTCACGTGGAAGGGATGCAGGTATAGGACTAGGCAGGTGACAATCAGCTGGGACAATGACCCCTGTAACTGCAGAAGGTGAATGGGCAGCTTTTGGTGAAGAGCTTACAAACTTGGAGCACACTTGTCAACCTTCTTGTCTCATGACCCCAAAGAGTGTTCCTGTGATTTTTGTGTCCCAAGTCTTATTACATTGAACTACCTAGAGCTGCCCTGTCCAATAGGGTGAACACTAGCCATGTGTGGTTATTTAACTTGAAATGAACTAAAATTAAATTTTAAAATTTAGCTAAATTTCAAGGGCTTACTAGTCATCTATGGCTAGTGGCTATCATGTTGGATAGTGTAGATATAGAACATTGCCATCCTTGCTGATGGTTCTATTGGACTGCACTATTTTTGAGAGTAGCACCATTTTATTTCAAGTGTCACTTTAAATAAGGATGCCTTGGATGACAGTTTCACCTGGGTTTCCAGCTTGGGTGTCTGGGGGACACAGGGATGGGGTTTGGTGAGGTAAACAGCTCTTTTGTAAAAATAAAGCACTGCACCTCCAGACTTGAGCCCTGGCCAGGAAATTTCCAGATATGGTCACAGCCTGACCAATGGCCCTTGTCATCTTCATCCTAGAGGTTTGCTTTCACTGTGGTTTTCTCACAAAGATTACCATAACCATCCCTGTCCCCAAGGGCACAATACTCCCCAATTAAAGCTCATACTTTTCAAATGGACCCAACTCCTCTTGTTCTTCTTGGCAAAAGGGAGTCAGGTTAAAACTACTACAATATGGGAGAAGAAAAAAATGAACATGTGCTGTGCCAATCTACAGTGTTGAAGTTCATGGCTAAGGTTCTCATGAGGCCCACAGACCTGCCCCCCACACTCTGCTGCATGCAGTGCACACAGCTTTGCAGGATCTTCAGTAGTTTGTTTCCACCCAGAAATCCCCATGGGGTTGGATACAATCTCATTTCCTGCTACAGCACAGCTCCCTTTGCTTCCAAAGTTCTAAACTCACAGCCTCAAGTGAGACCTTATTCTTCTATATAAAGGATTGGTCTCTTACAGGCCTAACAAAATAATGGTTTTCCATGAAATAGGGAAAGATCCATTCAGTATAAGTTGCATAACACTCAATAGTCAGGTTGTTAGACTTAGGTCTAAATGTATAAGATGATGGTTTAACTGTAAGTTGAGATTATGGAGATGTTCAAGTGCCCAAATGGAAGTATTCTCTTATTTAGAAAATAAACATTAGAAAAGGAAGGATATCAGGGAAGGGAAGAGTGGACTACACTACCTACCCTGGTTTGGACTTGTGATGTATGGAAAATTTGCCTTTAATGTGAACATATCTTCATTAGGGTGGAATAATAATGATTCACTGTTGGAAGACTTCCAAGATTCTTGATGGAAGCCCCAACTCTAAGGAGTGTTGTAAAATTAGGAGCATTAGGTGACTAACCCTTGAGCAATGAGCAAACTATGGACAAATAATATATTATGTAAAAAATAAAATTTTTCACCCCAGCTAAACCACTGATCTAAACTCTAGAACCCTCCAAAGTCCCACAAGGCCTAAGATTCAGCACTAAGGGGATTATTGATGACCTTAAAAAACAGCAATTTCATTTGAATATTAGTTGCATGGACAGATACTACTATGATGCAGAGAGAATTTGAACAATGAAGTAGAAAGAATGGGTGAAAAAAATTCATTCAAATAGTTTGTCTGTGAATGACAGAAAGATATGTAGTAGCAGCAATAGATGAAGAGAAATAAAGGCTTTTTCCCCCAAATGATTTTGATGGTGGTTACCTGTATATGTGTTAGAGGGGGGGTTAGTGGGTGGTTGAGAAGAGATTAAAGAATTTATGTGCATATATGCATAGCCCATAGACACACACAATAGTGTGGTGAAGGCCTGGAGTGGAGGTGGGGTGTTGGGATTGGGGTGGACAGGTGTGGGCTAGAAGGGGTCAATGGGGGAAAAGGGGATATCTGTAATATTGTCAATAATAAATTAAAAATCTCTCTATATAAAAGCCTAAGCGACCCTTATGACCAGTCACTATGACACGTACTGACCACCAGGGGGCAGATGTTCAACGCAGGAGCTGCCCCCTAATGGTCAGTGTGATCCCACAGCCAACCTCCCGTGGTTCTTACCCCCAGCTGGTGGGCCCAATCGGCCCCGATCAGGACTGGGTGAGATGGCCCCAATCACCAGCCAGGCTGAAGGACCCCACCCATGCACGAATTCGTGCACTGGGCCTCTAGTAAATCAATAAAATGGAAGTGCGTGGACAAGAACCAGCAAACAGAACAAGTTATAGATGAAAAAGAGGTTCAGGAATAGAATGAAGTTCTACAAGAGGCAAAATAGGGCCCTTTTGTTCCATTGCAGCAATAGGAGGGGAGGAAGTAGTGGGTGCAGGTAAGTTTGTAGATGGAGTGCAGGATGCTGAGAGAGTTCCTGTTTTCTACCTTGTATTTACTCTGTGAAGGCATCTACTCAGCAAAATGAGGGAGGAGATGTATAAAGAGTAAGTACTGACATAGTCATTATGGCGTATGGGAAAGAGAGCAGACTCAAAGCACACAGAACAAAGCAATGCAATGCACTGAATGAATAAATGAGGGAAGGACGGAAGGTGGTCTTTCTCACTTTTAAAGCAGACACTGACCGGTGGCATGGATTTCAATGGGTACTAATCATGGAGCGCTTTAGAGATTGAAACAAGACAGTCATTTTCATCATATTTTATATAAAATAGACATTTACATAAATTTTATTTTGGAAAGACCTAGGCAAAGTGTACATAATCAGACTTACATGGGCGATATATTCCTAACTGGCACAGCAAACATAACAAAAATGTATATTTATATACAACTGATCAAAGTAGGAAATAAAAGCATTATGAACAAAGAACATGATGCAAGTCATTTTCCCCTGAAAAAAGGAGGGATTGGTGTGAGTTACAGCAAGTCAAATGATAGCCACATTATAAAAGCAAGCCATGGCTTCTACAGATATTTTAATTTCTGAGGAGGAAAATTTTAAACATCTTTTTTTCTCCCCGAAACATAACGAAATCACTAATTTTTATGTGTCCAGGATGTAAAATAAGAGTAGGTTTCTCTGCCATGGTAAAGCACTTGGGCAGTCCAATCACTTTCAGGGTTGTTTGTGTATGTGTTCTGTTGTGGTGATTATCTTAAGAATTTCTAAAACAAAGGGCAACACTTATCAGTTACGTCTTCAGATGTAGAGGGCTTTCAATCTGGGTCAGGAGACTCATAGAGCTTGATAGTTTCTTAGAACTAACCGGTTCTTTAATGTGTGAGAAACAATGACTGAGACACTGGTAACCTGCCCAGGGTGAGGCGGCTCCTCGGTGGCAGAGGAGGGACTAGGAACCCAGACCTCTGGACTCCTGACTTGGTGCATCCCCTTACGGACCAGCAAGACGACCTCAGGAGGACATTATGTGCATTGGAGACTTCCAAATGTGATGCACATGTTCACCACAGGCACCACTGAGGATGGGAAGAAACTTCTGGATTTCTGGATATAGACATCTGTTTCCAGTTTGGGGTAAATGGTGATCTAAACTTGCAAATTAATAATGATTGTATATTGTGATAGGTGCTAATTTTATGAGTTACATACCCTAAGGTTTTAATTGCAAGGACCCTTGGTAATAATAATGGAGCATTTTATACAAGACAATGGATAGATAGGAATACCATCAATTCTATTGTGCCATTTTCTTGATTGATATTAAACCATACCTTTGATTGCAGTTATTTTACTTCTTCTCTTTAAGTTACATGGTTACTAAAAAATAATGAAAAAGTGCTATTGTTGGAAGAAGTGTTTAACATATTGTTCTTTTACATAAAAAAACGTCAAGAATAATAAAAAAGTTATAATATTTCCCTATATATATTTTCTCTCTTTAAATGCTAAAAGATGGCACTTAGATAAGCTTTGCTATTACTGGGAAATATCAACATACAGTTTAATCCAAGTAAATGTGATATGGAAATCAGGGTAAAAATAGAAAACAAACTACCTGTAATTATATTTCCTTTGATTATTGTTATTAATACTCTATAGATTTAAGGTACAAATCTATCACAAATCAGAGCAAAATTGTTGTTGTTTTTTAAATTGATTCTAATGAGTACAATTAATAAATAATTAATAAAAGCTGACGTGTGTATAATTAACCCAAAGAAAGAGAATTATAGGCTCTAGGCATAAACTCTATCATGGACACCTTCTTTGAGTCATAAAAAAATATGAGTTTTACATACTCAGCACCTTGTCTGGGTACATGTAAATGGCAAGGCAATTCCTGTCCATCTTAGAATTAAGAGCTCTGTAAATACAGGTCCAATTATAGCTCAATTGCCACCTGTGTAAAACCACCCCACCAACCCACCAGGTTTGTCAATCTTGGAATGGTAACCTCAACCAACCAATTGTGCCACAAATCAATCCTTCTGAAGAATTCTTTGGCTCATTTTAGTCTAGATTTAAAAGTTAAAACTGCAAAAGATTATAAACATCTCTTTTGTGAAATATTATAAACATCTCTTTTGTAAAATTCATAAACTCCCATTGAAGTTGTTAGCCTGTGGTCTAACTGCATAATAGAATCAGGAGTTTCTAAAATAAAATTTAATTTCCTCCAAGGTATTTAAATCTTTGGTTTAGTTCAACTATGTTACATCGCTGAACCATGTCTTATGAATGCCATTAACAAACTGAAAACAACTGAATCGTTTTAAAAATCCTGAATAATGTTGTAAAGCCATTCTCATGGCTCCTATGTCAAAGGCCTGCCACCTATGGGGATTTTGAAGGCAAAGAGAATGGGTCCTGGGTAGGACTGATGGACAGGTTAGACAGATTGGCAGTAGGAGGGGGGAGATGTGTACACAAGGAACTCTAATGTAGCTAAGAAAAACAGCAAATGATGCTCAGAGTAACAGTCACAAATGAAACTCGGATCATCGGATCAAGTGTTCAGCCCGACTAAAGCAACTCCTTAGCCACCGTCTCCTACTCAGCACCTGCTACATATTTAAGGCCCTAGGACAAAATAAAATTGCAGGAATCCTTTTCAAAATTATTAAGAATTTCTATCAGGGAATTCAACCAAGCATGAGGTGCTCCTGGGCACAGGACCCTGAGGGACTGTGTAGACTGCACATCCATGAAGCAGGCTCTGCCCCAGAGGGGGCTATCGACTCGCATGCCAATCACGCTTCCTGAAGGGCAACCTGGATGCACCTCCACGACTAGCCAGGGCACTCAGCTTTTATTTTGATAAGCATGGATTCCACCTATTACTTCATGTTACAAGGACCAAACAAAAATAGTTAAAAATATACTTAATATCCTTGAAAAAATAATGTGATTTATTTTCTTATAGGCACCATTTCAACTATGAAAATTACTTCATTGGCCACATCTCAGTGAAGGTATTTACTCAGGACAAAATACCTGATGTAACAGTGCTAAATTTTAATGTGCACACAGAATGAGAAAGGGGGTGGGGGGGGAAGGGAGAGATAGAGAAAAAACAAAAAACAAAAACAGACATGGAGTTGGGTAGGGGAAGCACCCAAAAGAAGACAGAAAAAGTCTCCTGAAGGCCATGTGACCCTTCTCCCCACCGTCCCCCCCCGCCCCCCGCCGCCTCCTGAGACCTTTAGGCTGTAATTGCTATTTCAATTAATCCAACAAATGTACTCTCATAGCTTTCACAGCACTTCAGCAAGTAAGGCATAATTGCTTTTCAAAATTTGGGGCTCAGTCTTTCCCATTAACTTTCTAGGTGTGAGTTTTGGTTACAGATCATTCTAAAAAATTGTGATCAAAGCCCTAGATACTAATTTTAGGTAGAGCTTCATATTATTAATTATAGGGGTAGGTATAATAATAGTATATTTTTCAAATGTACTGTGGAACCTTTCTTAGCCTTAAGACTATAGAAATATATTTTTAGGAGAGGAATAAAAATACTTTAAATAAAATTTTGGAAAATTTTTTGATATACAACATTAAAAGAGTATTAAAAACAGAAGATCAGAATGGTAATATAAAAATTATTGGATTATTGATGTACACAGATATATGCTAATGCAATTTCTGTAATCCTTTGCATTTAAAATATTCCTTGTACCATCATTTTCTAAAGAAGCCCCCCCCCTTTATCTAGACCTTCCCTCTCCCTCCTGACCCCCACCAAAAAAAACTTACAGGGGCACTGCTCTCTGATACTGGGGTGAAAGGGAGCAGAAGAGTTTTTTTTTTTTTTCGTTTTTTTTTTCTTTTTTTACCATACCTGGCCTAAGCATGGGAAATATGTGTGCCTTCAAATTACTGTATCTCCATGGAACCTGGCTCAGCATCATGAATAGCACTGCTCAGAGGTTTTGTTTAATTTTTTATGATGATGACCAAATTAAAACCAGGTATTCCAATTTCAAAATATATACCAAAAATCCTACTACCCCAAACCCTGAAGAGGCTGATCCCCAATTTCATTAACTTTAGCAAGTGAATAATCAATGCAACTTTTTTTGAGGCGCTGTTAAGACTTAACTGCTTTGTAATTTAGATTTATAATGCTTGTATGATTGGTTTTAAAAGCTGTTATTAAAACAACTATGTACAATGAAAAAAAACCTGTGTGTGTACATATATTAAATATTTTATAAGTTATGAAATAAATAACACTAAAAACAAATGTCAATTGATAAGTTCAACTTTGCCTTCCTTATTTTAAAATATAAATATATATTTTTTAAATTATAAATTTAGAATTTTTTCCTAGATTTTTTTGAGCATTCTCTATGAATTCTCCAAAATTACAAATACAGAACCAAGAATTCTGGGTTTACATCACTCACATTCTAAGCACAGAATTCTCATTGAACCTAGGAAGACAAAATAATAAAGCTCTGTTTCCATTTAGTCCATAGTCTATGAAGATTTCTGTGATATACTGTAAAGATTCCTAGGTGGTTAAATATATTTTTCAAAAAATAATAAATCTCATGATGTCTAAATGTTAAAATAATAAAGTAGAACATTTCTCTCAGTTAACATCTTTAATAATTCTCATGTAGAATATACTATTTTTTCTTCACCAAAATAATAATATTTGTGGAGGCAGAAACATTTATGATTTTAAAAGTACTTTTGAAATCTTAGAGCAGAACTACTACTCTACTTGTAATAAATTTTAAATTTTCCATAAAGAATTAGGGGGACCAAGATTCTTGATTTTCCCCTAGGGATAAGAATATCCATACATAATTCCAGAAGCTTCCTTTTTTATATGTTAGGCGATGGGAAAAACTTGCATCAGAGTGGAATTTAATTTACTATTCCGTAGGGCTCCAGCAATATCTTTAGGGGAATATTAGATCAAGCTCACTTAACAACAGCCCCTTTCTCCACATATTCTGGAAGGTTCTACAAAAAATTATTTGTTACTCCTTTCTGGTTCTGGAGAATTAAATGAGCCGCCTCTTGGTAGAATTTCCCAAATGGCTTATCTCAGAGGAATTATCCTCTTCGAAATATCCCATTAAGAAGCAAAGATCTGACTTCATAGCATTTCTAATTTCTGTATTACTGGGACATAAAAGCTTAAACTAGGAGAGAGAACCAGATCTCTGGGTTGCAAAAGCAGAGAAATATATGGAGGGAAATTTGGAGTTAAAGCAACAACAACAACAAAAATCTGTAAAATGCTGTTGTATTCCTTCCCTCTCCAGCCTCCTTCTCTTGCTTGCTCTTTTTTATCTTTTTTTTCATGGAGATGCAAGTCCCACAGCACACGGTTACCAGCGAGTGTCTCCAAATGTGCCCCCTGGACTGGGAGTGAGAGGAAAGCTCCGTTGGTTGCCCTGCTGATGTGACAGCAAGGCCTCCATCCCTTCTTCTTCCTCCAGAGGCACCAGCAATCGTCCCTCCAGACGACATCCAATGCTGCTATGGTTGATCCTTTTCTCGAACTTCTTGTAATCGTTTTTCTAGGCGATCCAATTTGGCCAGATTTTCCTGCAGCAGTTTGCTGTCTGGAACCAGCAGTAAGGCTCGCTCATAATAAGCTCTTGCAGACACATAGTTTCCCTGTTGAGAAAAAGAAAGAGAATAATCTGATCCCCCCGAACGTTCTGTAGGAGGATGGGGAGACTAGGAAACAGCCCTTCGCCCAGTGGAACATGAATGTCCCCACTAAGGAAACCTGTCTGCATGGGTAACTGTATCCTTATCTGCTGGTGCTTTTGGAGAATCCATTTGTTTTAAGTACCAATCCAGCTGGAGAATGTGAAGGATAGAACTTACACCACAGGTTAAATGGCAGAAAACAGATTTTCAGTTCTACTAATGCAGGGTATGAGGCTGGCATTTCATAGGGTTAGCACTATTCCTCTGTAATCAAATGGAGCCATGGCAGGAGAGAGGGAGAGAGAGAGAGAGAGAGAGAGAGAGAGAGAGAGAGAGAGAGAGAGAGAGGAAAAACAACAGTGGGAGCACACTGACCACCAGGGGGCAGCTCCTGTGTTGAGCAAGAGAAGCGCACGTGTGGGGAAATGATTTTGAAACTTCTAGAGTAATAATACAAAAGTAAATAGTTTAGAAATCTATAATGCCTCCGTAGTGGTAGGAGTTATTTTAATCTTCAAATTAAACTAACAAACAACAAAAGAACAACCAATACAGCCCTTTGCTAATACAGCCTTTGATGCAAATGTAAGATTTTTATAAAATGAAAAGAACTGGTAAGTATATGGAGTCACATTTATCTAATATTCTAGGTGTGTTTCAATATGTACCTGCTGGATACTTTTAAAGGAGGAGAGCAGGTCTGTCATTCCTGACCTGCTGGAGACACCTGTCTCTGTTCTCTGTTGGCCCATCTAACTGGCAACCATGCATACCTGGTTCCAGATGGTCCCTGGTGAATTAGTCACAAGTATTAACCTTTCCAGCCCCCTTTCTGCTACTAAATGTGTACTAAGACTGTTAGAAATCTTCCCATGCCAAAAAATATGTATTTGCTCTATTTAATTCAGTTATAGCTCAGTGTGGATGAAAACCAGTCTCTCTCTAAATTTCCATCACAATTTAAAGTAGTATTCTCTTGGCGTGAAAGTATTCTCTATCTAAGCAATAGCAACTAATATTTATTGGATGCTTATCCATCTTCCAAATGAGTTAATATGTGTCAAGAGCTTCAGTGAGCAGTCATTCTGATACCATCATTATTTTATAATTCAATGACTCTCCAGGCTCTGTGTAAACACTGTCTGTTTCTTACGGCATTCACTTGGCATATCTGTGAGAAGGAGGGTGGAAATGACTGAACAGGAAATTGTACATTGGGAATCCAGGGTCTGGCATGCACACAATGAAGATATTTCTGATTATTAACACTGATGCTGATAAGAGGCTAAAAAGAATTCCAAACAAATGAGAACCTGGACTTACTACATTAAATTATTTTTTTCAACTCAAACATTTATCTTCCAAGTGTCTTCTGCCACTTATTAAGCTTAGCACACACATGCAAACAACTGAACTTGTGGGTCTTCAAGTGGCCTCAAAGTATGTTTCTACTGCAGTTGATTTTGAAATTGTCTTCGAAGACGTTTCTCTAAATGTAGGTCTCAGCCTGGTGCCCTGGCATCGCCTTCTCTGATCACCAGCTTTCTCCCTCAGCCCGGCCTGAGCCCTCTCGCAGTCGGACATCCCCCAAGGGGTCCTTAGCATTGCCACCACCACCACTAGGCTAGCTAGCTGTGAGCCTGGCTTCTGGCTGAGTGGTGCTCCCCCTGTGGGAGCACACTGACCACGAGGGGGCAGCTGCCCCCTGGTGGTCAGTGCACTCATAGTGACCGGTTGTTCCCCTGTTCAGTTGATTTGCATATTAGCCTTTTATTATATAGGATATGACTCACTGATATTAGACCATTTTAAAAATATAAACATAGCAACTTCATGTTGTCCATCTAATACATGATGTTATAAAAAATGAAAAACAGGATATATTAACTTTTTAATCAGCGCATTTACTATATTTAAAAAACACACTCAATATATCCTTCTTTAACTCCCAGACACCTTTTCAAGGAGCAGTACTTTGAAATTTAAATAACGGCTTCACTTGTTAATTTAAGAAGGTATAATAAATGTACTATCTTCTTTGTATTTATAGATTTTTTAGATGCTCTTCAGTATATAGTTTTACTTTTTTCTAATTAATAATTAAGCCCATTGTTTTAAATGCAGGTGCACTTCATCTAAATATATAGTGAGCATATTATTTGAAAATTCAACTATTTAATATATGATTTAAATATTTAAAATTATTATGTTACTATTTTAAAAGTAAACTCATTCTATGTTTCCCAACTAGATGTTGCTAGACAACCTAGAACAGTGATGGCAAACCTTTTGAGCTCGGCGTGTCAGCATTTTGGAAAACCCTAACTTAACTCTGGTGCCATGTCACATATAGAAATTTTTTGATATTTGCAACCATAGTAAAACAAAGACTTATATTTTTGATGTTTATTTTATATATTTAAATGCCATTTATCAAAGAAAAATCAACCAAAAAAATGAGTTTGCGTGTCACCTCTGACAAGCGTGTCATAGGTTCGCCATCACTGACCTAGAACATTATTAAGATCAAAGCTCTGGTTATGTGGCTCATGCTTGGATTCACCACCAATGTTCTTCTCTTAGATTAGTCACAGATAATTGATAGAAGTCTGAAAATAAGTTAGCTAAACTAGAGTGATCCTTAAAAACATGTCAGCCCATGGTATTTCTCTGCTCAAAGTCCCCCGAGGACCCTACCTCATTTGGCATAAAAGTTAAAGACCCTACAATCCCCTTCAAGATTCTGCATGATTAGATCCTCTGACCCTGGTTTCTACCATTTTCTCTCACTTGCCTCCTCAAGTACAGCAAGCACATTTGCCCCTCAGGACCTCTGCACATGATCATTCGTTATTTTTGCACCATGGTTTCCTCTCTTCAGGTCTCTGCTCAAATATTGCTTTTTTACCTGAGGCCTTCCCTAACCACTATAATTCAAAATTTGAGCCCTTACCCCCTGACATTCCTATCTTTTTTCTCTCCTTTTTCTCCATAGCACTTATTACCAACTGATAGATTTTATATGTGTAAATATGTATGTATGTGTTTATTTACTTATTGCCTATTTCCCCCTTCTGGAATGTTCACTCTAAGAGGACAGGACTTCTTGTTTTATTTGTTCATTGTTGTATTCCTAGTGACTGGAAGAGTACTTGGCACAAAGGATACTCTATAAATGCCTCTCAAATGAATGGGCGAGTGAATGAATCTCTGATTTTATTAGTTATAGATATAATCTCCCAAAGGGTCATTTTCAATAATTCACAAAACAAAGCAACCACAAACAAGCAACCTGGTTTTTTAGTAGAAGGTTAGAGAATAAAAGATACATTAGGTATAAGAAATAGTAAAGTAATATTTAAGTAACACTTGCTCTAGACAGCGAGTTAAACTGCAGGAAAATAAACTACACTAAACTCCAACAAGGCTGTTAGTTCACACATGCAGATTTTACCTGTTCTATCAGGATACCTCTCAAGTGCATATGACTTTCTTTGTGATAAGCAAAGTCATGGAATCTAATTTATATAGATTTACTTTTTAAATGGCTTCCTGATATTGACTCTCTAGGATACAAAGTGAGCATAAACTGTGCTAATTTTACTTTTAAACAATTATGTTTGGGGTATTTAAATAATTAGAGGAGTAAATTGGGAATAGTTTCTCAATCTTTTATGAGAGAAGAAAGACAGAAAGAGAAAACATCATGGAAAAGCTGGTTCACCCGGAAGTGGATTCTTCTCCTACCTTGATGTGCTGGATTCCACCCATGTTCATCCAGGCCTGTGCTTGATCTGGATTTAGTTCCACAGCGGCTTTATAGCTCTAAATATATAAGAAATATCTTCAGGTTGGGAATCAAAAAGAATCCACCTTTACCACTACATAACTGTGAAAACTACTTTCTTTGTATGTGAAAATCTAAATGGTTAAGAAAATGAACAGCCACTTCTGGTTCACAGGGGTTCCATTTATTTCTATTAATTTTTAACGCTGATGAGTCTAAAGTAGAGGAAACGGAAATGTGTAATTTCCTTGCAGAGTTAATGTTTAGACTTGAGAATGAGACGCCTGCAGGGAATCCGGGGGATTTCTATTATAGTGAATCATTTCCCCTTGGCATTGACCTGCAAGAACTTGGTGCTTTTTGGCCTTTTTCACTATAAATGGAGTTTGTAAGGACCATATACAGTGGGGCCTTGACTTAGGAGTTTAATTCGTTCCGAGACCGAGCTCGTTAAGGAGCTCGTTAAGGAGCTTGTTAACGCAAATTACTCTGTCAACTCAATGCAAAAAATCAGCCTAGAGACAGCTGGTATCTCAAAAAACTCGTTAGTCGGGACACTCGTAAGTCAAGGCCCACTGTATATATATTCATAGGATCTTAGTTTCCTAAACAGCTTAACCCTACAAGATCACTGACCTGGTTATTTGGTATATGCTTGAAATCTTGCAGGATGCTCATTACTCCTTTAAGGATTTCTATTTTACTAGGGGATAGTTTTAATCATTAGAAAACCTTTCTTTTCTTTTTCTTTCATATGAAAGTTCTTCAATCTTTGAAGAGAATTACTTGACCCTCGAATACTTTTTTTGTGCCTAAATAACCTGTATCCTATTAATTTATATTTGTGAGGTATATTTTTAATATTTTGTTTGCTGTTTTGCATCAAAGGCAAGCTCACCATTGAGTCTTGATTTTAAGAGTAGTCACCTTACATCAGAATAAAAAGCTTCTGCACAGCAAAAGAAACCATCAACAAAACAACAAGAAAGCCCACTACATGGGAGAACATATTTGCCAACAGTATATCTGATAAGGGCCTAATCTCCAACATTTATAGGGAACTCTTACAACTTAACAAAAGGAAGATAAACAATCCAATCAAAAAATGGGCAAAGGACCTAAATAGACACCTTTCAAAAGAGGACATTCAGAAAGCCAAGAGACATATGAAAACATGCTCAAAGTCGCTAATCATCCGAGAGATGCAAATCAAAACAACAATGAGATACCATCTCACACCTGTCAGAATGGCCATCATCAACAAATCAACAAACGACAAGTGCTGGAGAGGATGTGGAGAAAAAGGAACACTCGTGCACTGCTGGTGGGAATGCAGACTGGTGCAGCCACTATGGAAGACAGTATGGAGTTTCCTCAAAAAACTGGAAATGGAACTCCCATTTGACCCTGTGATCCCACTTCTAGGAATATATCCCAAGAAACCAGAAACACCAATCAGAAAGGATATATGCACCCCTATGTTCATAGCAGCACAATTCACCATAGCTAAGATCTGGAAACAGCCTAAGTGTCCATCAGTAGATGAATGGATTAGAAAACTGTGGTACATCTACACGATGGAATACTATGCTGCTGTAAAAAAGAAGGAACTCTTACCATTTGCAACAGCATGGATGGAACTGGAGAGCATTATGCTAAGTGAAATAAGCCAGTCAATGAAGGAAAAAGGCCACATGATCTCACTCATTCATGGATAATAGAGACCATTATAAACTCTTGAACAATAATAGATACAGAGGCAGAGTTGCCTCAAACAGACTGTTAAACTACAGCAGGAAGGCTGGGGAGGGTGGGGGGCTGGAGGGGGGGGGGGCAAGAAATCAACCAAAGGACTTGTATGCATGCATATAAGCATAACCAATGGACATAAGACACTGGGGGGTAGGGGAAGCCGGGGGATTGTCAAGGGCGGGGAAAAAAAAAAGGAGACATATGTAATACTCTTTGTAATAATTTAAGCAATAAAAAAAATAAAAAAAAAAAAAAAAAAAAAAAAAAAAGAGTAGTCACCTTAAATATAACTAAATGTTATGAGTGCTGCCTTTACGAAGTGTTTAATTACAAAGCTAGGTATCTGTGTGTGTGTGTGTGTGTGTGTGTGTGTGTGTGTGTAGTTTAATACTCCTTGCTATTTTCATTAGCAAGAAGGCAACTGACCAGATCCATAAAGTGATGAGAATCTGTTAAGAAACTATATACTGTTAAAAATCTGCTTTAAAGACTTGAAGAATATGTCTTAATTTTTATCAACAGAGATAGGGTGTAGTATAGACGGGGTGTAGATTCAAATCCTAGATCCATTTCTTATCCTCTGTGTGACCTTGAGCAAGGTCATAACCTCTGATTCTCAGTTTTTTTCCAACTGTAAAAGGAGACAATGACTATGACTTTCTTATATGCTTGTTGTGAATATTAAATTACTAAATACATGTGAATCATACTTAAAAGTGCTATCACATTTTAGCTGTTACTAATAACTAATTGCTGTACTCTTAGTCTTCAGAAATCCAGCTACTCTATGATGAGTATTTGATCCACTGGTCAAGCAACTAGACAATACTTTTGTTGTCCATACAATATATAAGATACAGACCCCATGTAAATATTCATAATTAAATTACTAATTATTTAATCATTAAGCTGCCTATTAGTTACAAATAATTTAAGAATGATGGTGTAGAAAACATTCATAAGGCAAGAGAAAATGCAAGGTTCTGAAATATGCCACCATTACTGTTTGAAGGGTCTAATTTTCCCCCAATTATCTTCACATGTGTTTTTCAATCATATTTTAAAAGCCACCCACAGTTTACTTGAAGAAAAAAATTACATCATTTGAGATTTTATTTCCCATGATATATTTAGTGTCATATTTTTACTACATTAATTCCAACTTGTGGCTTTACCGGTTACAAGGGAAATGTCTGGTATCTGTAACATTTCTACTCATACTTGTAAATGTCTTTTTTATTTCAAGTTGGGCATCAGTAGTATTCCAAAGCTGTACATAGTGAACACCTGTAAGATGCATCATACTGTATTTAGAACACAGAAGGAATCAGACCCTTTGGACATGGGTGCAGCCTAACTAGGGAGTCAAAATGCATGCACACAGCTCATACAGGGGTCAGGGAGGGGAGCAAGGAAGGACCCAATACTACAACTTAATACATGGCCTGCTCAAATGACTGGTGGAGACATAAGTGTTTTCAGCATTCGGTGGCATCACGGTCACTAGGAGAAAGGATGGTCCAGCGAGCCTCCCAGGGAGGACGACCCAGGCTGTGCTGGTGGATGAGTGGGAATCAGCAAGGGGAGGAGAGGTGGGTAAAAGGACATGTGGATAGGCCCAACGCTATTCAGGCACTAGATCAGCTGGAAGAGATGGGATTGAATACAAACAGAGAGAAAAGGAGACAGAGGACACACAGAGAGAGACAGAGAGAGAACGAGAGAGAGAAAGAGAAGCTGATATGAGGGCAAAACATAGAATACGTCAAACAACAAGTTAAAGCTGGTAATTCAGAAATAATGCAGAGTTATCACAGAATTCTGAATAATCAAAAACCAGAAGCTCAATTATAAGAATAAACTTTTAATGTCAAGTTGATTAATCAGAAACTTCACAAACATGCCAATGATCTTAGATTCAGGGAGTATTCATTTCAATTCATGAATTTAATAACATAATTTGACTAAGTGTATGTACCTCAAAAGCTTTGTCCAGAAGGTTTTGCTCTCTTAGTTGATTTCCTTTTGTGAAAAAAAGTTCAGAAATGACCTTTGGGTCCTTTGGTTTCAGCTGGAGAGCCTTGTCTATAGCGTCAAGTGCCTGTATGGGTTGGAAATTAAAACAGAATAAATGTAGATTAGATAAAGGAAAACGAATTTAAATGATAAAATTTATACTTTTTTGTTCTTTTTTAAAAATATTTTTCCAGGTCCTCTTTTTATTTTTTCATTAAAGTTTTTTTATTGATTTCAGAGAGGAAGGGAGAGGGAGAGAGAGAGAGAAAGAGAAACATCAATGATGGGAATCATGGATCGGCTGCCTCCTGCACGCCCCCACTGGGGATGGAGCCCACAACCCGGGCATGTGCCCCTAACCAGAATCAAACCCTGGACCCTTCAGTGTGCAGGCTGACACTCTATCCACTGAGCCAAACTGGCTAGGGCTACTTTTTGTTCTTATGAACTAGCGGGGGTGGTGAGTGACAATCAATTCTTCATTTTCTCTAATTTTCTCAATAAGAATTTAGCTCTGATGGAGTAACTTCCTTATGCTCCAGGTTTCCATTTATATCAGTATCAATGAAATGTCCCTGAATCACTTTACAGAGAGGTTGTGTGATCTAGTTGAAAGAAAACAAAATATTTCCCTGACTGTGTGCCCATCTGGACCCTCCTGTAGCCTCTGCTTCGGTGCCTGGTGCTCACTCTGCCCTCACCACGCACTGCTCCAGCCCATGCAGCCAGAGATCTCTTCGAAGCACACACCTGATGGTGTTGCTCCTCTGCTTAAAACCCCAAGGCTTCTCCCAGGATAAGGAACAAGACTTCTGCCCTGGTTCCATGCCTTGAGGTCTAGTCCCCAACATACTCTGCAGCCACATGTTACAATTTACCCTGCTCCCTCATGCCCATCCCTCAGACAGGCTAATCGCTGTTGCCACAGGGTCTGTCTTTGCATGTGCTGTTTTGCCTGGAATGCTCTTTGCTGCCCTTTTGTCTAATAATTCCTATTCATCACTCAGCCCTCACCTTCACATCACTCTTCAGGAAACCTGACCTCCAATACCACTCAGATTCCCTGATTATATCCTTGTTATGGACCATGTCATTCTTCATGACATCGCTGAGCACAGCTATAATTCTACTACATTGATTTTGTGATTACCTGTCCAATCTCTGTCTCCTGTAAACTCCTGTCTACTGTAAATTCCTTGAGGACAAGGGTGATGATTTTATTTTGGTCATACCACTTTATTCCTGGTGCCTACTACAGTGTTTGACATATAGTAGGTATTCAATCAGTATTTTGTTGAATTAGTTCATGAGTTTACTGGTTATGTAACCTTTAAAATGGAGAGAAACAATAACAGTTGCAACACAGGGTTAATGACCTGCCTTACAGGCTTGTAAGGATTGTATAAAAAATATTTAAAGAAAATGGAAAATGATAAAGTATACAAATGTTAGTCTTTATCTTTTCTAGAGTCGGCTGAAAACAAACTGAGATAATACCACATAAAAATCTTCAGACCAAGAGTGATCTAAACCCATATTATGTCAGGGGATATCTTAAGAGTTAAAGGGATATCTGTGAAAAGCACCCATGAGATAGGATATGCCAACTGATGATGTTCAAGACAGCTCAGCCTCGTTACCGTGCAGCCTGGAGCCCATTTAGGGGCTCCCCATTTTCTACCCACGAATCCAAGAAACTCCAGTGTCCTCTGTACCTTGTCGTGCTGCTCCTGCTTGCTGTAGATTGCTGACAGCAGGCGATAGCATTCGAGGCATCCAGTGTCCTCTGATACAATGTGATTGGTCATCTTTTCAGCTTCTTTCGTCTGACCCATCATGGCCAAAACCTGAGCCTGCAAAACCACACTGACCTTGCCTTAGAGACATTTCATCATTACCTTATCAAATAAAGCATCCTTGAACGGAGGCATTGGGAAACACCCCAGACAAAAGTGCTGAGCATCTGTTTGTGACACACAGAGAGGGACAAATCGCCACAGCATCGAGGCTTTAACTTTTGTTGCCTCTTACTTATGTATGTGCATGCATTTCCATGTGAATGGCGGGAACATTAAAAATATTCCATGAAATGACTTGTGCCTTTTTTAAAAGTTGACTAAATATGTCAAAAGAGAAATGATTTCCTGTGTTTGTAACAAGGTAAGTTTCATGTACTGCAAATCTAAGGAAAAGAAGTATTGATCCAAGGTTGAAATAAAAAACATTGTTGTTGTTAATTTCCCTGACTTTGAAAACCATACTGTGGTTATGTTAGATAATGTCCTTATTCTTAGGAACTATATGCTGATTATCTAGAAATCAAAGGAATGAGACCTATAATTCTCGCATGGCTCAGGAAGAAATGACATTTACTAATAATGTGTATATGCACATCATACTTGCCTAAATATGCACATGTATACATACATGTCATACACACATACATACATCCATGAGAAGGTGGTAAACAAATGCATAAAAATGCTGAAAACTGATCAATTTGGGTGAAAGAGGATATGGGAGTTATTTAATATTCTTGCAAATTTTTGCAAGTTTAAAATTATTTCCAAACAAAAATTTAAAAGTATTTTTAGCATCTAGGCCTTGTATAAATGGCTCTAACATTGGTTAAATGAATATTTATAACATGGATATATTATAGCAATCCCGGTTCCCGTTCTGAGGCCTGCTGACCACAGCTCCCTCAACTGCATGCTCTGCGTCTGTTCCCAGCTTCATGTGCGTAGCCCACGTACTCACCAGGGCCAGGCGGAGTTCCCGGTGAGAAGGCTGAAGTGCCGCAGCTTCCCGGTAAATCTGCAAGGCCTCTTCGTATCGGCCCGTGTTGTAGAATAGTGCTCCCAAAGGCGACAGGGTCTCCGCTTTGCGTGCCACCTTCAGGGCGCTGAGTTTTAAGAAAGGCGAATTAACACTTTTCTTCTGGTAGATACATTTCCCAAGGTCAAAAAATGAGGGATGGCTGTCCAGGTTTGAGATTTTGTGCCAATATGATCTTTGTTTTTATATCAAGAAGAATGTTTAAACAACATTGCAGTGCCATTCTCTGACTATATGAACATCTCTAGTGGTCTAACAGGGTGGAAACTGAGCCCCAGGGTCTATTCCAGCAATGGTGATAGACTTGTTGTGATGTATGCATAATATTTCATTTATATCCACTTTTGCAACTGCTATTGGTGCTTTGGGTTGCAGTCCATCGCTTCAGAAAACAGTGGGAATTAAATTCCAACCTTGGTTAGCACCATGTTCTAATCAGCAGCCAAGGAAGTCATTAACGGGGATACTCCTGACAGTGTTGCATTGTTCTCTTTGGCGATAAGAATCTGTACTGCCTGCACTGGCAAAATTTGTTAGCATTCTGATAATATACCTGTCCCAATGAATTAAAAATTTGATGCTGTGGTCAATAATATAATGACAGTACAGGGACAGGTGGTTACTAGCTTTATCGTGGTGATCACATCGTAAGGTATATAAATGTAGACTCACCTAAAACTAATATGTCAACTGTCCTTAAAAAAATTAAAAACATTTTTTTAAGTTGATGGGCAATTGCAGAGGTCTTTGGGCGACTTACAAAGTGAAAGGAAAGACGTTTACCGTTTGTACCACTCTTCAGCCATGCTGTTGTCTCCCAGGGACCTGTAGAGCCTCCCCAGGTTCACCATGGCCACGTCATGACTCGGGCTAAGTTTGATGGCCTGTTGGTAATGGGCCACTGCCTTCTCGGGAGAGCCTATAACCAGAGGTGCGTGAGTAAGAGCAGAACATGCCTTAATTATAAAATACACGAGGGCTTTCATTTCTCTTCTGATGTACATCATTCTTCTTAGAGAGCCATGCCATCAATTATTCAGCATGTGAATTACTGTGCATTCGGGCTTCTTCTCCTTGCCACTGCCTAACTTTGAGCCATTTAACAATTCATTCCCATTTCCAGAGAAATTAACAATAAAAAAGCAATAGAAACTGTTAGGCACATTCTTGCACTCCATTTTGCTCTGCTTGTGGCTCTCGCCCCTCCCGGTAATTTTCCTGTTATTCTCATTGTAGGTTTCATGATTAACGGCCTTTGGTTTCCAGCAAACAGCCTCACCCAGTTTCTAGGGACCGCCTACACCTGGCCCCCACCTGCACCTGGTCCCACCGGTTACTCTGACTGACCCTTACATGAGACATAAATATCCTGTGCGCCCCTCCCCCCCCCCACCCTGGCTGATGCAGTTTTGGCTTCAGCCCTTCTGCTAGCAGATATAACAATAAATCTATAATTCATAATTCTTTACCCCTTTTGGACTCATGCATTCTTTCTTCGGCGACCCTAACAGAAACTAAAACCCGTTTCTTTTAATATATATATATATTATATATTATTAATTTTAGTCAAAGTGTTTTCTGGCCACTACCCTAGCTAATATGATGTGTTGAGATCATCAGTGGTTGTTATTTATAAAGATGTATTGCTACTCATTATGCAAAAACATGGAATTGGCTATTATAGAAAGAAAACTGTCCTGAAGTAATTTCTAAGGGTCTGTCTCAATTACTGTACTACAGCATTGCACCTGAGACACTGCTTTAAATAAGCATGTATTGCAGGAAGAGATTAACCAAAAAACTTATATGCATTTATGCATAACCCATGAACACAGACAATAATGTAGTGAAGGCTGGGGGAGGGGGTAGGAGTGGATTGGAGAGGGGCAATCGGAGGAAAAAGGGGACATCTGTAATACTTTCAACAATAAAAAAATTAAAAGTAAATAAACAAATTAGCATGTATTAGCTGTACCTAAAAATATTTTTAACCACATATTTTTAAAAGGCATTAATTTTAAAAAACAATGCCACCTTGCATTTGTCCAATATATTGTGCATTTTAAAACACTTTAAGTGATCTCATATGATCTTTGCAGGTATTTTTGATGCTATTTAGCTGCCTATTGATACCACTTAGCTGCCTCTTAGGACTTAGGAGCTATTTTAGGGTAAACAGAATTATTGCTTACAGATACAGACACTAAAGTGCAAAGACATTAAGAGACTTGACAAGATCCCAGGGCAAGTGAGGGTAGAGGCCAGAACTAGAATCAAGTCTCTCTAGTCTGATAAGGTTCTCCACAGAAGCTTCCTGTGAGAGTATGTCTAAGTAATGGAGCGGTAGAAGAGTCTAACGTTTAGATGGAGTGGGATGTTATGACCCGCACAGGCATCTTCTCAAGCCCACCTTTTTTGAATGCAAGTTTAAGTAGGAGTGCCAGATTGCTGGTGATGGGGAGAATTGCACCAGTATAAAAACACAAATACAGAGAAAGTGGTGGGAAGGTATATAGTATTGTCAGTGGTGTTTATTGGGTGGAGTTTTTTGTTGAAGTAGAAGGAAGAGTACTAGATCAGGCCTAGGGGTCTCTTCTGGTGCTTACATCTTTGTGTTATGGGCTTTATTATTATGTTGCTAATGAACCAGCAGGTGGCACTACAAAACCATTTTACATGTAAAAATATGGGCCGTTTCTTAGTGTATCACAGTGTAAATTTATGTTCTCTAAAACAGAAGAACTTCCAACATCCTCCAAAACAAAACCCTTTAGAATATTTCACACTGACAAAATAATTAAAATTAAATTTTACTGCAGGGCCAGTAGCAGGTAGTATAATAGTTAATGGGAACGAAGTAGTGCTTTTGCATTAAATTCAAATTTTTAAAATCTTTTATAGTGTTCACAACATGCCAACAGTATATGGAGCACAAGTCATAAAGAAAACAGAATCCCTGCTCTGTGAAGTTTCGCATTAAATAGGATGGAGTAAGTGTATTTTACATAGCACGGTCATATAAGAATACTTTATCAATTACAATAATACAGTTTCTGTAACGTATAACACACGAGAAACAATAAAATAACTCTGGAGGCTTTTTAAAAAAATCAGTTGCAGAAAAGTATTTACCATCTGCCAGTAACTAGATTCAGAGCAGGTTGTGCATCATTGTAGAGGAACATTTCATTATCATAGATTTATAAACTTGTATAACTGGTACTCAAAGAAGAGCCATTAAATCATCAAGACTACTTCCTGTCTCCTGGGGAGTTTTCCCTAAAGATATGATTATAAGAACTGGGCACTTTTACTGAACTGAGCCTGAAGATTTAGATAATGACAGCTCCATGGCACACTGTGACTGTCAGTGGTGTCAGCATCCTGCCAAGCCCAGTGAATTGTACTTCCGAGGCATTATTTGGGTGGTTGCCATTTTGCTCGAGAGCATTATCTAATCTCAACAGAACAGATTCTCTCTAATTTCACTTACCAGTATCAACTAAGAAAACTCCATAGTTGTTGTGTAAGTCTGAGCTATCTGGACAGTTCTTTATTCCAGCCTGGTACATTTCCTCAGCTTCCTTAAATCTCTCCTTTACAAGAGAATAAAGAAACATAAATGAGAAAGTTGAAAGAATTAACAATAAACTGAAAAGAAGTGAGAAAAACAGGAAATAACTTACTGAGCACCTACTATGCAACAGGCACTGAGATCAACACGAGGTACTCTGCTGAATTAAAGTCAATGATAACTGCATACACACCTATAATCCATACCTATGCTTCGTTCCTTTAAGACAAACAGCTGATGTTTACTGAGAAGTGATACCTGGAAGGATTTGCTCTATAGCTGGAAATAGCCTCAAAATGGTTTTTTGAATGGGATGCCCTCCACCCAGTAAGTCTCTGGATGAAAATGGGTGACTCATCAATATAAGAATACTTCCTAGGTGGCAATCTGACTGGGAGACAGAGAGGCCTGGGATAGTTGTCTTACAGCTGCATTTGTATAGTTATTACTCTTTTTAGCTGCACTGTATGGTTTATTTGGAGAGGTTTGGCGGGGCGGGGGGCGGGGGGAGAGTGGGAGGAGAGGTGGATGCAGATTATGGGAGGCTTTGTCATATCCCTTCTTTTTTGAAATATTTCTTATAGCCCACCAAACTATTTGCCACTTTCCTTTATCCAACCTGTGCTTTCCATCTCTCAGCTATTCCTTCCAACAGGAATACATGTCCCCTCAAAGGCATGCCTGCAACTCCTCCCTCTGTGGCGAGGTCCAAGTCAACCACCACTTCTCCAACGGATCATTTTCTAATTGCCCTGATCTACCCTCCGAACATTCACGGAACATACTTTAATAACTCTGAATTAGCTTTTAAGCACTTCTTTTTCTCCACAACCACCTTAGATTGTCATGTCACATCCACCTCACAATGTAGAAGGTAACAGATAATTAATGAATCAACGTTACCCAGGTTCTAACAATTTCTCACAAGTAAACAAGTTCATAGTTCCCTAGTACTATTGTAAGGTCAGGTGAAAAGAAATGATTTGGCATCAAGCACATCACAACGTTTCCTTTAATATGCTTGGAACATCAACATTTTCTGTAATTTTATCACAAGTTACTACTACCAAGCAGTCAACCAAATGACAAGGGAAGGTATAGCATCAGTTTTCTCAGACATGACACCTTAAACTTGTGATGAAAATGTATTGAGAGCACTCAGCATAAACCAAGAAGCCTAACTCTGATTTGACCCAGAAAAGTAAAGACAGTTTACCTTCTGTAGAATGACCGAGGCCATTTCTTCAAATCCATACATTGACGTACCATTTTGGGAACAAAGTGTGGTTTGAATCTGGCAAATTTCACTTATCTAAATTATAGAATCACTAGAGGCCCAGTGCACAAAATTCGTGCATGGGGGATGGAGGTGGGGTCTGTCATCCTGGCTGCACCCTCTCACAATCCAGGACCCCTCGGGGGATGTCCAATCCAGGGGGATCAGGCCTAAACTGGCAGTCAGACATCCCTCTTGCAATCCGGGACTGCTAGCTCCTAACTGTGCGCCTGCCTGCCTGCCTCATCTCTCCTAACCACTCTGCCTGCCTGCCTCATCGCCCCTAACCACTCGCCTGCCTGCCTGATCACCCCTCACCACTTGCCTGCCCACCTGATTGCTCCTAACTGCTCGCCTGCCTGCCTGATCGCCCCTAACTGCTTGCCTGCCTGCCTGATCTACCCTAAACACTCGCCTGCCTGCCTGATCATCCCAACCACTTGCCTGCCTGCCTGATCGCCTCTAACTGCTTACCTGCCTGCCTGATCACCCTTAACCGCCTCTGCCTCTGCCCCCGCTGCAGTGGCTTTGTCTGGAAGGACGTCTGGAATGATGTCCGGAAGGGTGTTCGGCTGTCCAGTCTAATTAGCATTTTATGCTTTTATTATTATAGATAATCAAGCAAAAATGAATATCAATATTTAAAATTATTTTTTAATTGCCAAGCTCAGTAAGTTACCAAACTCAAAAAAGTTAAAGATGAATGAAAATTTCAAAATATCTCCTCTCAATCTAGTGAGGAAAAGAAAAACTTTAGAAAGATATCATCTACTAGAGGACTAGCAAATCTATGAGTGGGCATATGTGTGTGTTAAATGGAGACAGGCAGAACACAAATTATATAAGACTCCAATCAAATTAAGAGAGGGTGCCATTTAATATGTACTGATTTATCCATTCATTCAGCACACGTTTATTGCAATGGCTATAGAAAGTATGACACAGTGATTAAAAATCGGACTGCCAGTGTTTGGGGCTATAGACTGGAATCTCAGCCTCATCATTTATTATCTGTGTGATCTTACTTCTCCTCTACATACCCAATTGAAAATAGGGATAACGAGTACCTCTCATAGGGTTGTTGTGCCGATTAAATGGATTAAAACATGTGAAGCCCTTAGAACAATGCTTAGTACATACTCAGCACTTGGTCATGTTAACCATTTTCCTTACTACTACTACTATCAGAAGCACGACTAGTGTTAATATTACTACTTATCACACTGAGAGATAGATACCAAAGACATGAAGATGAATAAAACAAAATACCTCTATTTAAGGAGCTCAAAGATGAATGAACTGACAAATAAACCCAATGTGAGCAGTGTATTAAAGAGGTAAGTACAGATGCTCTGAGCTCAGGTGGCCTAGAGCATTAGGCATCAGGACCATCCAAGGGGCATTTCAGCCAACAGTTTAGAGTTCCTCTCCCATCAAACCCCTTTAAGTAACTCTATGTAAGAAATAATCAAGTAACTTAAATGTTTTTTCTTAATCACTTTCTGATACAGAGATCAATAAACAATAACTTGAACATTTTGAGTTTTCAGTGTTACCACCTGACCAGTGTGAATGTTTGGCACTAATGCCAAATCTTTAGTTTTATAGGATTTTTAAATATTTTATAAGGCACTTTTACATACACTAACATAGTCATGGTAAAATAAAAATAAAAAGTTATTAAAAAAACAATAGATGAGAAATAGAAGGAAATAAAAGAATATTAGAGCTGGAAAAAACATTAATAGATACTAATGAGCTACCATTTTTAACAAATAGAGAAACTTGGGTACAAAATGTTTGCCCAAGATCTCATAGCTACAAGGGGACAGAGAAAAACCTAGGTTTTCATTGAACATTCAGGGAATTGGTAACCCCTGAATAAAATAAATAAACAAGAGTGTCTGGCATCAAAAGAAACAATTACACTTTTGGATATCCATTCATCCATCCATCCATCTCCTCAACAAATATTTCATGAGCACCATCCATGAGCCAAATATACAGCTGAGACAGAAGAGTGAATGAGACAGACACAATCCTGCCCTTACAGACAATTAAGTAGGATTCAAACAAGAAGGAAACTTTGCAATGTGTGGTGGCAGTGTCACAGGAGGGGAAGCAAAAGGTACTTGGGAAGCAACAAGAAGTGACCCCCAGACTTGGGGTTGGATAGGAACTGCACACCCATCATGATCCAAATACCCAGGGATGCTGGTGACCATGAACTCTCGCAGCTGTGTAACTTAAAGATGTGCTTGAAAAAAATCTATGGCTGCTTGAGACCTTAAAAACTTCCTTATAACTAAATTGTGGGAGAGTTGAAAGGCATTTTTCCTGAAAGAAAGTTGATGTCTTCACATTCCAACTTGCTGAAGTCAAATATAACAGTTAACAACAGTTTTCAAGTGCAATTACTGTTTTACCTGATTTAATTTTACTTTTCCCCTCATTTCCTTGCTGCTCCAAAATAGACAAAGAGATCACCTTTTTCGTCTAAAACTTCTCTTATGTTTGGCTTTATGTGCTGGGTTTCCATTAGAAATTCAATTTTCAAAGTCGAAAGAAGTAATGGGATTTAAAAGACCGGGCGTGTCAGAAGCAAGTAATCATACCTCTGTACTCTTGGTAACCCCCAAGGGCAGTCTCAGGACTCTGGCTCTATGAAAAATGTCTTCAATATCTGTCTTTCTTTTCCTTTCACTTGACTGTAAATTTCAAGGAATGATTAACTCCAGTTATTGAAAAATGAAAGAAGAAAAATACCTTCTAGGTATTTATTTAAAATAAATTCAACCTTCTCTGGAAAGACAATGCATTTATTTTTAAAAGTAGTAGTATTCAATCCCTGAAGCTCAATTTCATGCACTCACTTTTATTTGCCTCTTCTGGCTAGATATCCTGACCTAAGCCTGACCATTCTTAGTGTCTACTGATTTGTAAGATCCAGGAGAAATGAACATAACTATTTATAGAACAACTTTAATTAAAAATGCTTGGGACCCAGAGAATGGGTTTGACAAAAAATACTGTCTGCTGTACATCCGAGTCCCCAACAACTGCTCCGCTGCCTCAGCATGAAATCGGCCTTCAAGGGCAGTGGTTTAAAATGGGAAGCATGCAGCCATGGGCTCCTCCCCAAGGCTCTGAAGCTTTTCAGTGGGGTGGAAATAAAATGGGTCTTAGGGGAGAAATAAAATGTACTCCACATCTCCACTTTTTATATGCTGTAATTACCCAACATGGTATGCTTTCTACTGTAAGGGGAGAGGGGAGAAGTGAAAACTAGATCTTCTGAACAAGGAACTCTCTTGAACAAACTGATATGTTTGGAAAACATTTCTAATAGTTTAAGTGCAATAACCAGGAGAACAAGTAGATTAATGTATCAGTCCTCAAACTTCTTGGTTTTAGGTCCCTTTTGCACTCTGAAAACTACTGAGGACCCAATAGAGCTTTGTTTATGTGGGCTACAAGTACTTACCACAGCAGAAATAAAGCTGAGAAATTTTAAAAATACTTAATTTATTTAAAATGATAATAAACTCAGATATAAGACATTTATGTGAAGAATAACTATATTCTCCAAAGCAAAAAAAAAAAATAGAATAGTGACCTTATTTTCTATTTTTCTGCAAATCTTTTTAATGCCAAGCCTAATAGAAGATAGCTGGATACTCATATTTACTTTTATGCTCAATCTGTTTTTATACGTTTTTTAGTTGAAGTACCTGACGTGTATGTTT